TGGGTTAGTATGTAGTCTATATATAATTATTAAATACATAAGATACTCGAAAACAAAAAATACACTTCTTAGGACCATGTCCTAGGAAATGGTCTGTATGACAAAATCCCAACCAAGAAAAAAACAATCGGAAAGTTTGGCGTTTACCTCAAGACTTCCTTGTAATATATTAAATGTAATTTATTCAATCCTTGACTTTGATATTTCTTTTGTGTTGCTTCCTTGAGTCTCAGCACCATGTTAGACTATAGGTACATGTACATCAAAACTGGTTTATTGTACAGTCGAACTTCTCCACAACGGCCACGCTGGGGACTGAGGAAAGTGGCTGTTGTAGAGAGGTGGCTGTTATGGGGAGGTAGGGGTGTAATATGACACCTTTTTTACAGGCTCTGCAACCTTTTTCATTTTTAAAAAAAATGTTTATTGTCAGTAGCATATACACACGAAACACAATCATAAAACAGANCAAATCATTAAATTAGGAGTTTGTTTACAATATATCCTGATTTAAGAATATGATTTTGCTGTCCTCTTGCCATATCAAAAAATCAGGGCTCACTGTAATAGACTATTTAACATGAAATTACGAATATCAAAATTCTATTGTGGTGCCAAGTCTCAGGGGACTAAAACAAGAGAAACGCTAATCTCACACTAACAAAAATTGTGACAGCATGGGGCAAGCATTCCACAGTACAGCTTAAGCTAAGTTAGTATGTAGTCTATAATTATATTAAATACATAAGATACTCAAAAACAAAAAATACACTTCTTAGGACCATTTCCTAGGAAATGGTCTGTATGACAAAATCCCAACCAAGAAAAAAAAACAATCGGAAAGCTTGGCTTTCACCTCAAGACTTCCTTGTAATATATTAAATGTAATTTGTTCAATCCTTGACTTTGATATTTCTTTTGTGTTGCTTCCTTGAGTCTCAGCACCATGTTAGACTATAGGTACATGTACATCAAAACTGGTTTATTGTACAGTCGAACTTCTCCACAACGGCCACGCTGGGGACTGAGGAAAGTGGCTGTTGTAGAGAGGTGGCTGTTATGGGGAGGTATCAAACAGTTCTATGTGCAGAATAGACAAAAAGCTTCAAACAACAAACGATTTGGGAAATATCAATTACGCCAGTAATCTCCGATTCTCACCACAAAATGATATTATCCTTGTTTACAACACAATGCAAAAAGTTGACAGCTGCTTACCTGTAACTACCATAACCTTCAAGTGCCCAAAACAAATGGTAAGTTAGCAATGCAAACATGCTCATGGAGATTGTAATGTTTGAAGAACATTTTTAGCTTGGATTGAAGGATTACATGTACAGATGTATATGATTGGTAAAAGTCTTGTTACTTTGTGGGTGAATTCTGTCAACAACAGGCAATTAAACCTGTAGATCAAGGGAAAATTAAGTATACTCAGCTGTAACAGATGTTATGGGTTACAGCCCTTAATGCCAGCTCTGGTGAATTGTGTCAGGTGTCTAACCCATATCTATCAATCTGGAGCCAATTAAGGCACTCCAGTGGACCACCATGATATTCCTTAAGCACAGTATAAACTGGATGCATATATCTTTATTTCAGGGTGATAAAGGCCCATTGTTGACAGCTGCTGATGACTGTGCATTTGAAGTTCTCTGGGAGACAGACTTTGCTTGCCCACAGTCCAGTGTCATGTCTACAAATAGCTGTGTGCTGAGGAATGAATTTGTTAACTTCGACTTGACGCCGCTCACTAATGCCAGACTCACCCCTTACATGATAAAGCATGATGACGTTGATTCGCAAGGCAAAACAACCCATTATCATTATTACATCAACGTTTGTCAAGCACTTGTTTATCTTTGTGGAGGTTTGTGTCATGGACATTATATTTGATTGAGGAAATAGAAAACACTTTCCCAGTTTCTATTTAACAATTATTAGATTATAAGCTCAAGATTTCTAATGTGTTATACATGTAGTTGAAGAGAATGCAGTCGGAATCAACTATCTCGCATAGAAGTTGAAAGTAAATAGGCTACATTGTGTAATTGTTTCAGTATAAATCTAGTTATTCAAAACTTTATCTAATTCGTCTTCAGATACACTTTGAAAATGCAAAGAAGCAGCCACAGCCACTGCTGGGTTACTGACTATCTACAACATAATAGATAGTGTGTAGCGTAGCCAATAAGAGAGCGGCATTCATGCACAAATGCTAGTAGATTTATACTAACAAGTTATAGATGACACATAAGGGGAGTGTTTTTTAGTTCACCCAAATTAATTGTTATCAGTGTTTCTATACCCCAAAAGAAACAGAGAGAAAATCCTTTCTATAATGTGAGAAAAAGAAAGGAAAACCAATCTTTTCTTTTGATTGGCAAAATTTAGATCCTCTTTGATTTGTTCTCACCATATGTGTAATTACATCAACAGCCCATGCTACCTCTGTGTTTCTATCAAGTTTTAGTATAAATCTACAAACATTGTATCATTGTNGTATCATGTCTACAAATAGCTGTGTGCTGAGGAATGAATTTGTTAACTTTGACTTGACGCCGCTCACTAATGCCAAACTCAGCCCTTACACAATAAATCATGATGACGTTGATTCGCAAGGCAAAACAACCCATTATAATTATTACATCAATGTTTGTCAAGCACTTGTTTATCTTTGTGGAGGTTTGTGTAATGGACATTATATTTGATTGAGGAAATAGAAAACACTTTCTATTTAACAATTATTAGATTATAAGCTCAAGATTTCTAATTATGTGTTGCACATGTAGTTGAAGAGAATGCAGCCTGAATCAACTATCACGCATAGAAATTGAAAGCGAATAAGCTACATTGTGTATTTGTTTCAGTATAAATCTAGTTATTCAAAACTTTATCTAATTCTTCTTCAGATACACTTTGAAAATGCAAAGAAGCAGCCATGGCCACTGCTGGGTTACTGACTATCTACAACATAATAGATAGTGAGTAGTGTAGCCAATAAGAGAGCAGCATTAATGCACAAATGCTAGTAGATTTATACTAACAAGTTATAGATGAAACATAAGGGGAGTGTTTTTTAGTTCACCCAAATTAATTGCTATCAGTATAATTTTCTATACCCCAAAAGAAACAGAGAGAAAATCCTTTCTATTATGTGAGAAAAAGACAGGAAAACGAATCTTTTCTTTTGATTGGCAAAATTTAGATCCTCTTTAATTTGTTCTCACCATATGTGTAATCAACAGCCCATGCTACCTCTGTGTTTCTATCAAGTTTTAGTATAAATCTACAAACATTGTATCATTGTATCATTGTATCATTGTATCATTGTATCATTCTCTAATGTCATTCTCTGTAATATTTTACTGGCTATGCCACTCACCATCTATTCTTTTGTACATGTGGATGGTGAGTAGGCTAACAATGTGCAGTTGTTAACAAAATGATGGCCGCTTCTTTGCATTTTCAAAGTGTCTGTAAACAGGATNGCTATTGTTTTTACTTTTTTTCGTGGACTACAAAATATGCCTGTCCACCTAGTCGGCGCACTGGGACAGCCTGTCGAGTAGAAAGTGCCTCTGGTGTCCGATATGATCTCTCAGAACTTGTGCGCCTGGAAAATGCTTCCAACTGGGTTGCCCTAGATGGAGAGAGCAGCAACTCTAACAAGTTGATTTTCATCAATGTTTGTGGTCAGTTAATGCCTCGTAAAGAGACAAGCCAGTGTGATAGCGGATCTGCTATCTGTATGATTGACAAGGGGAAGGTGGTAAGTCTTGGGAAGTACACTGATCCACCAACCCTGAATCAAGACAACTCTATTAAACTGGTCTATACCCAGGGTAGTGAATGCAAGAAGGACAAGGGGAAAAGTATCACAAGAAACTCTACAATTACATTTGTGTGTCAACCAGGGGATTTGGAGAGTCCTCCTGTGCTAGTGTCTCATACAGCAGATGACTGCCAGTATCAGTTTATGTGGAAGTCAGGTACTGAGGTGCTCTTTACCCTGTTAGTTATTAAAGCTTTTAGAACAGTACAGGCTCAAAACACTTTACCTCCTAAACAAGTGCAGCAACACTCCACCCGGTTTCTGACATTAGTTGAAGGGGTGCGTGGAAAAAAGCCCTAAGTGACTCTTGATCTCATGTCAAATTCTCCTTTTTTCATTGAAGGAAGCGGAAAGCAATTTGGTGGGGGAATCTTGCAGTCTATCAGATGTTGCTAAGGGTCTTTTTCAGCACACCCCTCCAGTTGGTCATTTATCAAAACAATCTGAGCATGGGAAGATTTGGGCTCATTGGTAAAACCTCAGTTGAGAGTCCAAGTGATTCCACAGAACAGTGATCAGTTTAGTAATTATTTTGTTGTTGCACATGCCTTGTGTTATACATTACTGACCTTTCTGTTTTTTAAATGACCTGTAAACAGCTGCTGCATGTTCGCTGGGTCTAAATTTTGGGCAAGATTGCAAGGTGGAAGATAAAGATGCTGGTTATGTGTTTGACTTGACTCCTTTGGCCACACATAAATGGGGCAAGGATGATTTTTACACTGTAAATGGTGCTTCTCAATACAAGTTTCAGTTGAAGGTGAGGGCTCATGTTTAGGAGACATCTGTGTCATCAAGTTTCAAATTGTACTAAACCAAGTTGAGTTTGTCTCACTAGTGCGTGGACCATCTGCTAACAACAAATTTGAAATATTTAGGCTAAACTTTTCAAAATGTGCATACGGTGGCTGAGCTCCTTTAAAAACTCTCTGGGATGTCCAGGGATGGTATTTCCCAGTCTCCAGACTAGATCTCATTCACTTGTTTTGGCCATCAAATATCGATAATATGTAATAGACAGATATTGAAACTAAACTTGTGATAAGTCTAAAAAAATCTAATTTTTTTGTGGGTCTTTCACCATCTTACCATGCATATATCTATCAGGCACTTCTCACTTGCTGATTTCTCTTGATGTCGATTTAGCCCCCTCCCACGACATTTTCACGCCTACTTGCCCTTCAATCATAAATCTAGAAATGTTGCTTGAAAAATCGTTCCAAATTTGTTATTTTGTTTGAAGTACGAAGTAACAGAGATTCATCTACCGCCAACTGTAGCTTTTGACAATCTACACTGGAGTGACCTTTGAAGATTAATTTCTATTCATGGCTGTGTGACCACATGTGAAGTAAAGAAAATTATTGATGGGTTGTTTTCCTTGTAGTACAGGCCTTTAATAGTTTATTTTTTGTTCCTGTACTAATGCTCAATATGTATGGGTTGTTGAGCAAGTGTGAGGTCAAGATGGCTGGATATTGGCTGAGTTCTTTTTTTTGCATGTTTATGGACTGAGATGGAGTTGAGGTGCATAAACTTGCAAAAAAAGAACAAGGTCAATATCCAGCCATCTTGACAAACAAGCTTGGTCAATAAAGGATTTATTATATGGCTTTCGGAGAAATTTTTCTTGCAGGACACAGCGGGTAGTCCTGAGCGGGCAAGATAGCTCCATCTTTCCTGCTCGGGTAGCCAGTCACAGCGTGGGATTTGATTCATCTTGCCTGCTCACAGAGTTAGCCATATAATAAACTCAGGTATCAAAAAAGTGGTTTATCTACACCAGTGACTTTCTAACTTTCCTGTCAGTGTAAACAAGTAACTACATGACTATATCCCATCTACACTGTTGCAGTACGTCATTGCTGAAGTAGTGCTCTGAGATAAGTGACCTATCAAATGCCTTTTAATTACGTGCACTTGTATTTTTCTGTGATCACAGGTGTGTGGAGGAAGCAGCAAAACAGGCTGCGTTGGTTCAAATGTTGGTTCATGCCAAATTAAAAAGGGAAACCCCAAGCAAAACTGGACCATTGGTCAACCAAATAACATGTTGTATTACTATGATGGAATGCTTAATTTAACATATGGCAATGGAACACCCTGTCACAATGACGTTTCTCGCACCACCCACATTACCTTCCTCTGCAATTCTTCAGCAGATAATAATGGAATAGGAGTGCCAGAGTATGAGAAGGAGAATCACTGTGTTTACAACTTTAGATGGTTCACAAAATATGCGTGTCCTGCAAAGGTTAGTCAAGCAATGATNGAAAATAATAGTTTACTAAGATAGAAAAACATCAAAGAGATAATAATAAACCATAAAGGAACAAGGATGGTCAAGGATGGCAAAGATTGAATCAGATTGCTAACAACAAATTTGAAATATTTAGGCTAAACTTTTCAAAATGTGCAAACAGTGGCTGAGCTTCTTTAAAAACTCTCTGGGATGTTCAGGGATGGTATTTTCCAGTCTCCAGACTGGATCTCATTCAGTTGTTTTGGCCATTAAATATCGATAATCTGTAATAGACAGATATTGAACATTACAGAGTAGAAACTAAACTTGTGACAAGTCTAAGAAAATCTAATTTTTTGTTGCTCTTTCATAATCTTACCATGCATGTATCTATCAGGCACTTCTCACTTGCTGATTTCTCTTGATGTTGATTTAGCCCCCTCCCACAAAATTTTCACACCTACTTGTCCTTCAATCATAAATCTAGAAATGTTGCTTGAAAAATCATTCCAAATTTGTTATTTTGTTTGAAGTACGAAGTAACAGAGATTCATCTACAGCCAACGTCTGTAGCTTTTGACAATCTACACTGGAATAACCTTTGAAGATTAATTTCTATTCATGGCTGTGTGACCACATGTGAAGTAAAGAAAATTATTGATGGGTTGTTTTCCATGTAGTACAGGCCTTTAATAGTTTATTTTTTGTTTGTGTACTAATGCTCAATATGTATGGGTTATTGAGCAAGTGTGAGTTCAAGATGGCTGGATATTGGCTGAGTTCTTTTTTTTGCATGTTTATGGACCGAGATGGAGTCAAGGTGCATAAACTTGCAAAAAAAGAACAAGGTCAATATCCAGCCATTTTGACCAAACAAGCTTGGTCAATAAAGGATTTATTATATGGCTTTGGGAGAAATTTTTCTTGCAGGACACAGCGGTTAGTCCTGAGCGGGCAAGATAGCTCCATCTTTCCTGCTCAGCTAGCCAGTCACAGCACGGGATTTGATTCATCTTGCTTGCTCACAGAGCTAGCCATATAATAAACTCAGGTATCAAAAAAAGTGGTTTATCTACACTAATGACTTTCTAACTTTCCTGTCAGTGTAAACAAGTAACTACATGACGATATCCCATCTACACTGTTGCAGTACATCATTGCTGAAGTAGGGCTCCGAGATAAGCAAACTATCAAATGCCTTTTAATTATGTGCACTTGTATTTTTCTGTGATCACAGGTGTGTGGAGGAAGCAGCAAAACAGGCTGCGTTGGTTCAAATGTTGGTTCATGCCAAATTAAAAAGAGAAACCCCAAGCAAAACTGGACCCTTGGTCAACCAAATAACATGTTGTATTACTATGATGGAATGCTTAATTTAACATATGGTCATGGAACACGCTGTCACAATGGCGTTTCTCGCACCACCCACATTACCTTCCTCTGCAATTCTTCAGCAGATAATAATGGAATAGGAGTGCCAGAGTATGAGAAGGAGAATCACTGTGTTTACAACTTTAGATGGTTCACAAAATATGCGTGTCCTGCAAAGGTTAGTCAAGCAATGATTTTATGGCTCATCAGGCCAGAGTCATGGCACAACCAGTCACTAGACTTCTGTAACTAGTTTCTTTCTGCTAACAACTTCTAACTCAGTAAGGTGTATTTTAATCCACATTTTTCTTTTTGTTTAACACTTTGTAGGACCATACAGTACCAGTCAAAAGGTGTTTTGAAGCTATAAGACATTTCTTAACTCCAAAATGTCCCAGATTTATCTTTATCACATTTAAATTTCAACCTTTCTTTTTCGTACAACTACTGAAAATCAACTGATCACACCCCTCTCTTTCCCCAAACCCTAAAGAGAATGCGATGCTCTCAAGATTTCACTGAATGCTCATCCATTTTATTTCACAAAGTAATATTAAGTTTTAAAAGTGACTAACATACAGTATGCCTCTTACTGTGCAGTCAGCAATCGTGTCATCTTTTCATGAATTGAGAATTTGATATTAAGAAGGAAGACCCAATCAATTTAAAAGTTAAATACATTACTAATTTTAATACCTCCTTCTCCAATTTGTGAAAAGGAATGATTTGAAGTAGTTTGACCACTAGCTTGGCCATATATGAACAAAAATGTGGTATGGCTCCATGTATGAACTAGAGTGTAAATGGTTGTCAAGACAATGAAAATACATTCGGTGAGGCAAATTTAAAGTGATTGTATCTGCTTAATAGTGGTGTCTGCTTATAAGAGGTCAAGTTTACAGTTATACAGAGTCACTTGATTCAGGTTGGACTTTTGTGTTGGTACATGTAGCAACTAAGATTTTAATCTTGGCATCCTTTTACAGCTCACTGAATGTGTAGCCAGGTCAGAAGCTCATCAGTATAACTTGACGAGTTTGGTGAGGACAAAAGATAACTGGCAAGCTCAAAGTGATGGCAGAAAGTTTTACATCAATGTTTGTCGTTCACTGAATCTTGGACCTTTGGTATCAGGCTGTAGTGGAACTGCTGCCATCTGCATGAAGAAAGATGGCAGGACCTTTAACTTAGGTAAGTGACTACTTGTTACTGCCATCATTTGTCAGGTTTCTGTTGTGAACAATTGACAGTAACCATTTGGAAGGAGAGCACTAAACTGAATCATTATGGTATGTTCACGCAGTACTCAGCATTCTACTTATACTAATAGTTGTATTACCAGTAGTTGTTTCTATACAAGCAATAAACTGTCCACTTGTCATCATCTTATTTTTTACTGCAATTTCAAGTCATTATAATTAGGTTAACAAATTCTAGATTTTGAACCATACTGTCTCATATCATATCTTCGACTTTGATTAATTACAGTTTAGAGAGGTTTCAGCATCTTATTCTAGTACAGTAACATTCCCTGTGGAACTTGTTTTTCTCAATTCTTGTAGGTGCTGTAGCAGATGCACCACATTTTGAAGGCAAGAACATCGTCATAACGTATGTTAATGGGGACAAATGTAATGACAAGCAGCGCTATGAATCAAAAATAACTTTCATCTGCAATCAAGGATTAATGGTGAGTTTTTCTTTTAATCATCTTCCATGCTGATTTTCATGCAGTTAGTTGTAAACCTAATAATTAAGCAACTCAGTGTACTGTGAAATTTGAACTAAGCGATTGTTGAGTGACAGGAGGAAGGTCAAGTGGGTAATCTGTGGTTTTTGATCTTGGCGAGTAGCCTGGGCCCAACAAGGTCCAAACAGAATGGTTCATGGCCAAGGGATTTACCATTTATCTTTATTTATTTATTTATTNCATGAAGAAAGATCTGATACTTTTCAAACTTCCTGTGTGCTAACTTTTGAAAAGACTAGTGAAGCTTGCTTTTGGTGAGTTCTGGGTGTTTTCAAGATACTGTAAAACGTATTTTCGTGTGGTCTCAGTCTTTCAAAATGGTTGCCTTTGTGGCCATGTCAAATTCTAACCCTGTGGTCATGTAATATCTAATTGCCCCCCCCCCCTACCCTGGGGACATATCAGACACATTGCCTACGCGTGCATTCCTCCTGTGATTTCTCTTTTTTTTTTTCTTGATACAAACTTGTAGGGCAGGGGACAATTTTGAACAAACTGGACAACAAAGAGAAGTTCATATCAAGTTCTACTGCAATCCAAAGAAGCCATTTGGAGAGCCAGCATTTAGTGGGCAGGAGGGAAATAAGTACTTCTTTGATGTTCAGACGTCACTGGTGTGTTCACCTTCAGCTGTTCAGTGTGCAGTGACGTCAGAACATGATGGCAAATCATATGACTTAACTCCTTTGGGACTTCATGATGGTAAGCTAAATGGCTGCTGTGATAATGTCTAAGTCTTTAAGAAATGGCCAGTGCTTGGGTGGCGTTTATCAAGTTGTCCATGCAAGCATTATGTTAGGGCCTTCAAAGAAAAGTGTAAATGGTGCTTAATGTCAGGAGCATCTCTGCTTTAAACTGATCAACAATAGATGAGTGTAGGGAAGGTGCTTGTAAGGCTTAAGGAGCCAGGTTCACGAGCTAACCCAGACAACCCTGTAAATTCACGAGCCTCCCTGCACACATGTAAGCCACGTGTAACTTTATAAGCCTTCTTTTAGCTTCCAGAGTGCAACAAGAACATAGTGAATTTGAAAAAATTACCTTACACAACTTTGGTAGTGACCCTCAAACCAGATTAAATTTATCGTGTGTTGAAATGTTAGACTTTGAGGGAGGACTTTGATAATAGAAGTAGAGATTATAAAATACAGGAGTGGGTACTGAACTAGGCTGGGCAATTCCAAAATGGAAATGAATGGTGGTATTTGATTGCAACTTTGATGTATGTGTGCACCTTTTTAAGGTAACTGGGAAGCAGTTGATACCAGACCACAGGACAGACACCTTCATTACTTCATCAACATTTGTCGCTCCGTGAATCCAACCCCAGAACTCATGAAATGTCCTGGTGGAGCTATTGGTGCTTGTCAGATCGACCACAAATCCAAGAGAGGATTCAACTTGGGATATGTGCAGAGCAATCCACAGATAGCAGCCAGTGGGGAGCTGTCGTTGCAGTATTCTGGAGGGAGTGAATGCCATCACCAGTTCAACAGAAGCATTAGAATCGTCTTCTCATGTTCAGATATTATGGTGAGGGATAGGATTGCAAAGCCCAAATATGGTGAAGGAAGATTGCCTCGAAAATGTCTCGTTACAGGGTATCAAGGAAATAACAACCCCTCAGCTTGTACCTTAAAATGAGAAGGCCGGTCATGGGCAGGGCTGAAAAAATTGTCATCCGGGTTGTCCTGGATAAGTAGATTTTCATCCCGGGCAAGTAACTTTTTATTCTCACTTGCAAGTCGTCTTCCAACTACGTCCAAGAAAGTTAAACTAAAATTTTCCCAGGGCAACACAATTTGTCAGCTGCCAAAGGGCAAGCTGGAGTTTAAGTTTTTTGCAAGCCCTGTTGTGTTTTTTATAAACAAAGTATGTGGTAAGGTTTAGTGTAAAGTCTCTGTTTCCATGGCTCTAGGGCTCTCCTATCTTCGTGGCTGAATCTCCAGAGTGTGAGTACCTGTTTTCATGGCAGACACCCAGCGCTTGTCCACTGACTCTAGAACATGGCAATAACTGCACAGTGGAGGACAAGCAGTATGGTTACATGTTTAACTTGTCCCATCTCTATAACAAAGACAAAGATTATAATGTTAGTGTCAGTGGCGCCCCTGGTGTAAGGATCATTCTGAATGTCTGCAACAAGCTAGTGCATATCCCAAAAGGATGCAGTGAAAAAAAAGGGACAAACGTGGGAGCATGCATTTTAAGTGAGTTGTAGTTTTTACAGATATGAATGTTCATGGAGCACATCTCTCCTAATAATTATTAGGGAGCTTAAGAAACCAATGGCATGTTAGCTTTAATTCGTTTCTCAGATACGTTTTATTTCGTCGTTCCGAAACATTTTTTTTATTCCGCTTATATGCCCCCCGGATAAAAGCCTCCCCCGTTTATAAGCCCACCCAAAGTTATATAAGCCCAGGGCTTTAAGGTGGGATTTTACGGTATGTAAAATGCAGTCTACCAGTTTTCTGTTGCTGATTCTCATTTTGTTAAACCTGGTTTAATTTAACATGTTCAGTTGGTGTGAAAGGGGTATTAGAAACCCTTGGCGTACATTTTTAAGTATGGCAATGGTTGATCTTAACTTTTGGACAAATTTTAAGCAATGTGGAATGCTGGAATGCCCTTAAGTGACAGTATAACATCTTGTTACATTCGAGAACTCTTCTTCATATTAATGACAGTTCTGTTGACTTGACTTAATTTTCTAATAATTATAGTGATATTTTTACGTTTTCTAATTAGACTGATTTTTGTCTTACACATATAATGATACACACAGATGCGAAGCCTGTATCGATCCTTCAAAATAACAGCCTCACATACTACAACGGCCAGATTAACATGACGTATGGGAATGGGAAATCGCCTTCACTTAGCTTCATCTTTGAATGCAACCAAGGCATTACTGGACGGGAAACAGGTCCAACTTGTGAGAAGAAAAAGGGCCAACTGTATGAGTGCCATTGGCAGACGGCTTATGCTTGCAGGCCCATGGGTAGCGTACAGTGCAGTATTCGGAATGGCGATGGCAGTGTTGATGATCAATACGACTACACGCTGTTGTCTAAAAGTGAAAGAAACTGGCAGGCACGAATTCCAGGCCCAAATCGTGAAGGTGTGGTTTACTTAATAAATGTTTGCCGAACAGTGGTATTGCAAAAAGTCGCACGGAGGTGTCCCCCAACTGCAGGCGTTTGTATGGTGAAGGGGTGAGTATAGTCAAGCGTTCTAGTGTAAATAAAATAATCAAATTACAATGGAGGATGCCACATCACTCTTACTTGGTTTTCATGCGGGTCCTCTATCCTGGTCGAATTGGAATTTGAAGATGTTGGTTTTTGTGGATGAAAACCGAAGAACCGGGGTACCGGGAGAAAAACCCCTCGGGGCCAGGCGAGAATCAATAACAAACTAAACCCACAAATGGCACAAGGCTGGAATTGAACCGGGACCACATTGGTGGAAGGTGAGCACTCTTACCACTGCACACCATTTGTCAGGTCACAAGCGCCCAATTATAATCTTTGGTAGGGAAAGACAAGTGTCTTGCTCAAGATCACAACGCAGTGACCCTGACTGAAGCTCAAACTTTGGTCCACTTGATCCTTAATTTATTGCTTTAACTGTTAGGTCCACATTTTTCTCTCCCTTCCCTCCTCTTAGCATTAAATATTATAACCTTGGAACTGTAATGCACGGACCCAGAAAAGAAAATGGCAATATATACTTACTGTACGAAAATGGTGACGACTGTGGCAATGGAAAGAATTATTCTTCCCGTATACAAATGGAATGTGGAGACACTGAGGTAAGTAAAGGTTCTGACTTCGAGTTCTTTGTTTTCGTTCCTTGTTTTCGCTTCAATAATGCTTTTGAAAAACATAAGCAAGTAAAAACTAACGAGATAATGTCCCAACGTTTCGGCGACCTCGTGACGCCATTATCAANGAGAAAAACCCCTCGGGGCCAGGCGAGAATCAATAACAAACTAAACCCACAAATGGCACAAGGCTGGAATTGAACCCGGGCCACATTGGTGGAAGGTGAGCACTCTTACCACTGCACACCATTTGTCAGGCAACAAGCACCCAATCATAATGCTTGTTAGGGAAAGAAAAGTGTCTTGCTCAAGATCACAACGCAGTGAACCCTGACTGAAGCTCAAACCTTGGTCCACTTGATCCTAAATTTATTGCTTTAACTGTTAGGTCCACATTTTTCTCTCCCTTCCCTCCTCTTAGCACTAAATATTATAACCTTGGAACTGTAATGCACGGACCCAGAAAAGAACATGGCAATATCTACTTACTGTACGAAAATGGTGACAGCTGTGGCAATGGAATGAATTATTCTTCCCGTATACAAATGGAATGTGGCGACACTGAGGTAAGTAAAGGTTCTGACTTCGAGTTCTTTGTTTTCGCTCCTTGTTTTCGCTTCAATAATGCTTTGAAAAACATAAGCAAGTAAAAAAACTAACGATATAATGTCCCAACGTTTCGGCAACCTCGTGACGCCATTATCAAGGAATTAATGAATGAGAGCGAGTTCAAAAGAGGCGAGACCCGTAGATTTACTTAAATGTCGTCAAAATGATTACCGCGTCCCCGTTTCTGCTAATGTTGTCTGTTGCATTTTTCTTGAATTAAAAGGTCCAAGCTTATGCTCAACGACTGATGGTTGCATCTTAGAACGTGTTCGTAATTGTTTGATGTACAACTATACATCAAACAAGTCAGATCACGCTTGAATGTTACAAACAGATTCGATCCGGGCTTAAGTCTTTGTCTAACTTAACTTCGCCGAAACGTCGGGACATTACATCGTTAGTTTTTACTTGCTCATCTTTCCGCTTTGTGCCAAAATAATAAGAGCGCCTGCAAAGAAACGTTCCTCAAAAAATCGACTCTGGTCGTGAAATTGTCAGTGTCACCATTTGACATATCTTTTCTTTTAATTGGTAGTGTTAAATATAGTTTCCCCTCTCATAAGGAGTTATCTTAGAGAGTTGACATTTAACTTACGATCACCACACGGAAGCTGTTCCTTTGCTGAAGGCCAACAGCCACCTGGAGCAGAATTAACTGGCCATAAAAGAGAGGTCTGTTAGGTGGTCTTTGTAGAGAGGCGGCTTTTGTAGGAAGCTTTCAATGAGAGTAAAATCCGGGGGGCAACTCCCATATAAAAACGACTAGAGTGCTCGTTGGAAATTTTGAAAAGAACCCCTAAAAGGTACCAAGATCCTGTTCTGTGGGCGGGGCTTCAAATGTTTCACCGCTAAGAGGTACTAATTGTAAAACAGCACATTATCTCCTGTCATATTTTTTCGGCTCAATACCCTAAAATGTACCGCAAGAGCTCTCGCTGTTGACCTGTTGAGGCTGAAAACCCTAAGAGGTTTCAAAACCTCGTTTTAATCCCTGAAAGATACGACGAACACCCCGGGGGTAAAGACGGTTTATCGTTAGCGTTGTAGGTGATATACTTCTGTTGAGATATGATCCTGACTGGCGCACTCAAGAGGTCATTACTGGAGGTTTGATTGAATTTGTCTTTACCAACAGCGGACTAATAGTAAACAGTGATAATAAATATCTTTAAAAGAGGAAGCGCCCATCATGAAGGGTAAAAGAGTTAATGCCCCATATAAGGTAATCCCTTGGAGATTGGTACCCAGTTCTCTGTAGAATAATCGTATCATGCAGTCGCTCGGTGCCTGGATGTTGTCGTAAAGGATGAAAATGCGCGTTAAAATGTCTTACATGTAAGCTGTCCACTTGAGCAAAGTTCGCGTTACAGGTCTAGCTATTTGTTGACCTTGTTGGGATTTCCAAAACCGGGAGTGATTTAAAAATTAGCCCGAGCGGGATAAAAAGATTTGTTTGCGGGATTGACTGTCCTACTTTCATGCTCTCTTGTGTGATATCGTGGTGAGTTGATTCAACAGTATTTCTTGTTTCTCAGGGTGAGCCCGTGTATGTGACCATGTCAAAGCAAACCTGTGTGTACGAATTCCTTTGGATCACCAGTGCAGCTTGTCCGGTCAACACAAAGAATCAAAAAGTTTTTGACAACTGCACAGCCATAAACCCTCAAACAGAAGTCTTGTTTAATTTGCAATCGCTGAAGAAAAACGACGAGGACTATCTTGTACGAGACAAGGATAACAGTACTTTATTCGCGCTGAATGTGTGTAGAGAACTAGTCAAACCAAACGGTAAGTGAAGAGACCAAAATGAAAGCGCGAACATATTGAAGTTTCAAGGAGTGAAATAAAGAACACTGTATTCTTTCGGGACTATCTTGCCTGGCAAGCCAGTCGCAAGATGNGGCTGCGGCTCTTTCTACGAATATATTGCAGGGTTGGTAGTTTGATTGGCACTCGATGATAAAATACTTCGCGCTAAACATACAGAGTTAGGTTAACCGCCGTAGCGCGTAGTAAAGTGGAGAATTGCGGGATATTTTGCCCTGTCAGAGCGAACATGGCAGTAAAAAAATACTAAGAATGAGTTCATTAATTGACGAATGTTCGTTGATCTCTCCCGCGCGTACTTGACTTGGCATGTTTTCTTAACTTTCGGTCCGTGCTGTGAAGCCCGGCTTACGGAAATCGACCGGAGTAAGCTCAGTCCTTATCTCACGGTACGGATCCTTATTAAAGGAGGTACGTTACGGCTTGCGTATCTTGAAAAGTTTAGCCTAAATTTTACAAGTTCTCTGTTTACATTCCCTGTTAATCTTCTCCATCCTTAACCATCGTTGTTCCTTTATGGTTTGTTATTATCTTTGTGATGTTTTTCTAACTTAGGTAGCAACTATTTTCAGGCCTCCTTCAATTTAAGGGCCATTGTGTACATGGCCAAATAAATCAAAATGCTGTGATTGAGCTCCTAATATTTGAGGGAAATATCTTAAAACAGGTGACATCGGAGGATGGCGTTGATGACTCATACACTTACTACGTGAACTTGTGTCGTCCTCTGGTACCAATACCGGGAACGAACTGTCCTGCTGGAGCGTGGGCTTGTCGGGTCAAGAAACAAGCCGACCAAGAAAACGGGAAACATGAGATCCAGGTAAAATGGCCGCATCTGTCAGTTGTGTCTCGAGAAAACAAATACATGTAAGGGGCTTCATGTATTTTCGAAAAATATTGAGCCTCGCGACTTAAGGATTTAGCGGTACTTACATATGATCTGCTCCCGTCTGGCTTAGTGATCGGTCGGCAGAGCAGCGGTTAGGTAATTAATCTGGAGGGTGTGGGTTCGAATCTCACTGAGGTTAAAAAATTTTTCGTTACCTCGTGTGGCGCGCTCTTCCCCGAAGGCTTCTTCTCGATGAGAAACGTAGACCAGACGCGTGAAAGCGGCGGAAATCAAGCCTACTTGTGGTGCTCCATTTCTTTGCTAAGGTTAAGGCTAAGGCTGAGAACGAATAAACTTGGGTTGATTTCTAGCACTCCATATTACTTCAGAGATAATTCAGTTACTTTAACATTCCCTCTTTGCCCCCAGTAGTGTTTAATGACACTAGCGAATTATCAGGGCGATCTGATAAGATCGTGAGGGATCCCTGTGCTAAACTAACATCTCATCAAGGGCGCGTAGAAATACTCCATAGTTGTTTTGTTTCACGCTACAGAAACCGGGATACGCTCCTGCTGTGTTGGTTGTAAGTAGTAATATATGTGGTTATGTTTAGAGCTTGGGCCGTGCTGTTGATCCTCCAAAAGTTGATGACAATGGAGAGGTGCGACTTGTATACCTAAGCAGCACTGGTTATAAAGATGGCAAAACCAAAATGGAGCTCCACTTCACGTTCGCTTGTGCGTACGGCTCATTGGTAAGTTTGTTAATATAATTAACAATAATTAACTGTGCAAATGAATATATGAAAGATCATATATGAAAGATATAAGAATATATGAAAAATCCCTGTTTCTCTCACCATGTAACCAGCTCCCAGTGTCTTGATAGCTCAGTGGGTAGAACACTGCAACGGTATCGCAGAGGTCATGGGTGCGAATCCCTTTCAAGTCTAAGTTGTTTTCAGGCTTTATTTTCACAGCTGCTTGCTAGTTGTGTATAAAACTGCGATGATCATTGATGTCTTAAAAATTAACTGTGTTAGAGCGGTTTTCATTTGAGTGTCGAAAGTAATTAGATAATTACTTTGGTTTTGGGTTTGGTTTTACTACGGTTTGAAATTGGCTGAGTAGTCTAATTGGTAAGTAATTGATTTGGTTTTGGTTTTACGACACTCAATTGAAAACCGCTCTAACAATTTAATTTATTGAACAATTATTAACTTTAACGACAATTTAATGCAGTTAACAATTTGCACCTAAACTATATGTTAGAACCGTAAGACTTAAAATTTTGCATTTGATAATGGCGACAAGATGACCCCGAACCGCTATGCTCTAGCGTTTATTTTTCTTTTAACATATGATTATGAGCACACTGCTACGCTACCCACCATCTGCAATAGACCAGATAATGAGTAGCGTAGCCAATCAGACAACTACATTCATGACAAAACGCTAGTAGATATATACTAATTAAACAATAGTGTTTCTGTCGAGGAACTATCGGCTGATAGTTGCCCCGNAGCCAAATGTAAAATTTGGAAAAGAAAACAGACAAAAACCAACTTAATACAATTGCAGTTGTTTATTTTCTGTAAGCCCGCTTTTTTACAGAATAATTTTCACGGACGAATACTATCATCCACGTATTTTCCTCGGATGGGCACTATGGGCTAATGGTGTCTCTCCGCGGATGAACACTATCGTGTCACGTGATCAATTTAAATCAATAAGAATCGGAGAAAATTTAGTAGTGAACTGTAGTGGCTAATAGTGCACGATAGCTCAACCAATCAAATTGCAGTATTTGTATTAGTGTGTCCGTCTACGTTCCAGACAGTCGTACACCTTGAAAGCAAACCTGTTTTAATGGTGGTTGTAATATTTTTCTTTTTTGTTTTCAGGGTCACCCTGTGTTGCAGCAAGTAGACAAGAATGTAATCCACATCAACTGGGCGACATCGGCAGCCTGTTCTGAAGCGCAGACGGCGGAGCTTGACAAGTGCGGAGTCTTTGACAATAGCACAAGAGAATATTACAGCTTGAAGCCGATTGCCAAATTCACTGACACTTTAAGATATTACAAAGTGGTATGACTCCTAATGTACCAAACCAAGGGAGATGTATTGTATCAAACACGAAAGACCGTGTTTGGCCACATTTCCTAACACCGAGAAGAAAGTTGAAAATACGACGCGTAGCGGAGTAGTTTTGATGAACTGCGAATGTGGTCAAACACTGTCTGGAGTGTTTGATATATCTTCTCAATTGAAACTAAAACTAAGGAGGAAACGGAGAACTAAAATCGTAAAAATCTATGCTAATTGAGATCAGATATCCAAAGACCGTCACTGTCATGACTTCCTTTGTTTAAGCTTACAGCTATTCCAGATAAGGGGGTGACCTGGGCGAGTACATGGTCATCAGTGGTTTGAACTGGGATCCTTCATTTACGGCCTTATCATGAAACTGTCCTGCAGGGACCAGTTTCTCGAAAGACCCGGAAACTTTTCGGGCCCGAAAAGCCATTTTTAGTTAAGACAGACAGGTGTATACGCCTGAAACTTCTTATGGAACCTCTGTTTATATTAAGAATATGTGAATAGAGTTATCGCGAACGCTAAAAGAGCGGTAAGGACGAGACGGGGTTTGATCGGGACGAATACTGCGCCCGTGTCTCGTCCTAAGTAAGTAACGCTTCCTCGTCTAAAGGTCTCACCTTGTAATTTCTGCCTGATTTCGAGAGAATAACACACTACCAGCAGTCTAATCTGGCGATCATTTTCACACTACTATTTGAAAATTTGAAAGCAAGAATTTTCAAGAGGATCATCGCATGGTCTGAAATGGGGCAAAAAACAATTAGCCGTACAATCTAAAAAGGTCTATAGTAGAGCTCCCTTGAGGGGCAACAAAAGTAATTAAATGAAACACGATCTTTTTCTTGTTGTAGGGAAGTGAAAATGATCCGCATTATTTCTTGCTGTCTATTTGTGACGGGTTACATTTGAGCTCGGCCGCAAGTAATTGCACAGGAGCGGGGGTGTGCTTGGTGGCACATAAGACGTACAAACCTTTGGGCCTGTACGCATATAGAGCGATGACTTACTTCAAGGACGAGGAAATGTTGATTCTGAAGTACTGCAGTGCAGCATGCGACAGTAAAGGTTGGTACGCATGCGCCAGTGGTCGAAGGCAGCGTGGCCGAGTAGTCAGCGCGTCGGAGTGGCAATCCGGCGGTCCCGGGTTCGAGTCCCGCTCCAACCACTACCTGGCTTTGTTTCACGGTAGTCCGGCCTGAGTTCAAATCCTCGGCCACGCTTGTAAATAGCCAACGGGTTTGCCTCCGGCCAGTTGGGATTCTTAACAATGTTCTGTTGAATTTGAATCATTTGTTTCAGTTCTTTTGCTCAGCCCCACTAGCCTTTGTGCTATAAACACTGCCGAAGATAAATTAAGGTTATTGTTGTCAGTAATGGCGACAGAGTCGTGTGCTTTTCACATGAGGGGACATTGCATCCACGCATGTTTTTGTCCCAAGACTCGCGTTTGACTTCTTGTGTGTTTTCAGGTTTACACTTTTCACGTTTCAGAACATGTACATGTAGTATTGACAAAAAGTTAGTGAGGACATGACATAGGGTTGTAATCTCCCCTTCCGTGAACAGCACGTGATGTTCGTGCTACTGCATGTCACTGCGACGTATTCTATCATTAAGTAGAAGTCTTGATCATTATAGTTGACGTGAAACGATGTTTTTGGAAAGTCGTCGTTGTGATACTCCATCAATTTCCGTTATTTTCATGCAGGGCGCGCATTCCAGAGTAGCGCAGAGATTGCTAGGCCAGCATGGCGGATTGCGGACACGTCAGATCCCCTAAAAAAAAACGAAAACTTGCAATGTTACGTGACGTTTGTAACGATTGCTGAAACGATACTGTTATTTTCATTTTTTCAGATGCTACTGTAATATCAAGAATAATATTTGTGTGTGACAGAACTCAAAGAGGCAAAGGAAAACCAGAACTGAATACGTTTAGTGTGAGTAATTTTCGTATCTGACTTTTAAGCAAGTATCGCCTTTTCCTTTCTTAGTATAAGTATATTTTACTTCTCTTACTGTGCTTGTGTGATCTTTTCTCTTTTTTTTTTTCCTCTTCTTTTGCTTTTGCGCAAAGGAGCTTTTTTCTGTGGGACGTAAAAGAACCCACACACTGATCGAAAAGGGTAGGGGACGTAGTTTCCGGTGTGGTGGTCTATCTCTCATCTGATGGTTAAATGCTCGGAGATATTAGCTGCATAAGCTACTCTGAGATCCGAGGGTAAATGAAGTAATGTATGTATATATGTATTGCGCTTTCACGCGTTTAGGTTTGCTTAACTACTTTGTCCCAAATTATGTCATTTTGCGTGACGATGACAACTGCTGTAGAGACACACGGCAACATGGAATCTATTTGTTAATTTGATCTCGTGCTAGATTGTGACTAGATGGTGTGCGTTTTTAACCACAGTAAAGCAAAACCAAGGCTACTACTAAGAACTTCTGACACTCAGTAATTTAAACCGCTTTATTAAGGCAGCATTCTTTTTTTTTTTCTTTCAACAGAAAGACGGTGCAGATTTTGCATGGAGAACAAGTCTGGTTTGCCCTCCTCTGGAAGAGGAATGCAGCTACACTGATGGTAACAGTAATTACAACCTGCAGTTGCTGACAAGTCGAACGCGAAGCTGGTATTATGAACATAATAAAGACAGGTATTTAGTCCTTTCCTCTCACGTCCTCTCGTTGGCTGGCCGCTGGCGGTTCTACCTCGTACCTTGTGTTTCCTGTGTCCTCCAGTTTCTTTCCTTCTCTGTTTATTTAATTCTATTAATTGTGTTCCCATCTTTGTCTGCTTTTTATTTTTCCTGGTTTAAATGAAAAATTGCTGCCCTTTTATTCGTATGTTTTAGACTGTTTTTCCCATTCTATGTAGTTTGATTCTAAGTTTATTCATTCAAATCTTAGAGTAATGATTTGATTGATTTAAACATCTTTTTGTTGGTATTGCAAGCTCTCAAACAGTCAAAGTTCGAACAGCCGCATGCACAGTTTGTCATTACGTGGAGACTTCGACCTCAGAACCTGTCTTAATAACTTGGTTTTTAATCGGCTGTACATCAGGAAGCCAGTAAACAAACGTGTCAATAAAATTAAGAACGCGTGTCTCGTCCCCAGTCTTCTTGCGTTCCTTTTTGGCCTCCTTTGTTGTTGTTGTTGTTGTTGTTGTTGTTGTTGTTGTTGTTGTTGTTCTTTTTGCTTCTTACTCACTTCACTGTCGCAGATAGTCTAGCCATCAAGATTGTTTTATGATTCTTTTATTATTTTAAACACCAACGATTTACTGGATGATGAATGAACGAACGAACGAACGAACGAACAAATGAATGCATGCATGCTTTATTTAACGTGGATATACGCTTAGCTTGAGAGCTAGTTTACAGGTATTCCTCCTAATAACTAGTGAAAACCTAACAACTAAACAACGCCAATATCACAATTCATGAGGTATACTGATTAAAACTATTCAAAACTATTATTACAATATTACCGCCGCAGTCAAAATAATATTAAAACTAATGTTACAAATTTACTAATCCCCGAAATTTAGCGATCTAATTCTGTTTACTATTTCATTGGTGCGTACTTTTATTCTAATGTCATTTGATAGATTCGTAATTAAAACAAAATTACACGGTGGCTTGAAGATGTGAATTTTATTTTCTCGTGTTAAAAACGATAATTTACTCGCTGCGCTCGTTCGCAAAATATTGTTTTAACCACTCGAAAACAAACTTCCGTGTAATATCCTCTTTTTGCGTTCCTTGCATAGCTTCTGGATTAACATCTGTAGAGGCATCAGCGATGGCCCACCAGGTATCTTTCAGTTTTGGTTGTATACATTAGTTTTACTTTTAATCTGTGTATTTTCTGCATATTTTCAGTCTTGCATATTTATTTATTGTACCTTGCAAAGTATGGAAAATAAACTACCGTAAAATTGTTTAATACTTGCTGTATAAAAGGAGNTAGATTGGTTTAAAAACAACAAAGAATCACGTGAAGACAATTATAAACGTGTGTTTGAATGTTGTTATCAGTGGTCACTTTCTCTCTCGGATCGCCTTTTCTGAAACATAGCTAAACTTCGTGTGTGCAAATTTTGGGTGCCGCTTAATGACAGTCGAAAACTCTCATCGCGACGACCAAAGGGTGGTCGCAGCCGCGTGGCAGAGGTGACTGGTTATTAGGCGTTCTATTTACAGTACATTACTGACAATGATTTCGGGACTTTGATAACTGGCCGCTTAACAGGGGGTGGCTGCTTCGACTGTTCGACTATTCCCAAACAAGTGAAAAAGAATAAAAACACAAGGCGAAGCAACTTGCATTTGATTCAAGTTTTGATTGGATCTCTGGATTTTTCATTTTTTTAGCTTTTTGTTTCTGACCAGACTGATAAGTGTGGTTTTGATTGTGCTCAATGTTGAAAGCCTCTATATTTCATGTCTTAGTTAATTTATGAACTGTTGTTGTTCATTTGTTAGTACATGGAAAGTACCGGGAAAGGATGAGCATAATAACGAAGTGTCTTACTTTATAAATGTTTGCGGTAACGTGGATGATGACAATGCGCCCGTGGACTGCAACAAGAAAGCTCAGCTCTGCATGGATAACACACCATGGCACGTGCGATCCAAGAACTTTTATTACGAAGGTATGTTCCACCTTAACACCTGGCTCGGCAGTAGAAAAGTACAGTAAATTTTTATATAGTGAGTAAGCAGACACCTCGACGTGGTCTATTGCAAATTCGAGAATCTAATGGCTAATTCTCTCTATTCAGACACGCATGCAGGGAATCATGGTGGTTGTATTCATTAAAACAAATATCCAGTCCAAGATGATGAATACAATTACCATGATTCCCTGCGGGCGCAACTCATGGAGGCAGTTGGCCATTTTGTAGTTGGCTTTTGCCTCTGTGTCAAAACGAGTCCGCGTGCAAAACCATTCATCTGTGTTCCGCTTAGAGGTTAATTTTCTTGCAAATCAAACTCATTTTCATATGAAAGGTTTTGCACGAGGACTCGGTTTGAAACTGAGGCACAAACTTGCACACTGTTCGTGTCTTTCTCCGCGGACTGTACTTTCTTTATGCTCCGGCTGGTCACTTCCTCGCGTTCTCTTTACCTTACTATTACTAAAGCCAGGTTAAATATACATTAGTTAATTAACGATTTTATAGTAACTAAGAGATCCCTGAGAGGAAAGTAATTCCTTTANCGTTATGCCGGGTGTATTGTATTTTACACCATGCCATAAAAAATACAACCAATCAGAATAAAGGAAGGTCGTAGTTTAATCGGCCTTCCCAACCTTCCCTTCCCAACCTTCCCATCATGCGCTGCGCGTATCTCGCATTGACAGTGTTGTCCACTGTATTTTCTATGGCGTGGTATAAAATAGTTACGCAATAATTTCTCTGGTATGCCATGGAATATCCTACTTGCCACTTATATTTTCTTGATATACACACTCGCCTTGAGGCATAACTCGTTTGTATATATGAACTCCTTCAAACTTTGTAATACTCTAATTGCCTTTTGTGATTTTGTTTGTCGATGTTTTTGTTGTTTTTTCAGGAGTCACGAAGTGACAGATATTCCTGAGGCTGGCCACAAAACAGCCAAGTCTGCTACAAAGAAAAACGTGGGCATCGCCTTTGGCGTGCTGTTTGCGGTTTTTTTGATAGTAGTCTTTGCCGTTGTTTTTTATAAACCATCCAGAAGGTAAGTGACTCGTAACTTAATGGTAAAAAAAAAAACATTTCCATGTAAAACGCCTCTGCATATCAAAATGTCCGAGGAATTCTAGCCCAACTTTAGTGCCTTTTCAAGTTTACTTGGTCATATTTGTATCCAAATTGATTCTCAGTTTGTTGAGATCAAACTGGTACTTTTAAAAAAATGCTTACATCCCAGGGGATGTTCTTAAATCCCAGGGAAATGTGAAGTAATCCCAGGGGAATGTCCTCTGAAGCCGTTTTTTGTTTTAAAGGGCATGAAACGAGCCGAAAGGCTCAATACTTATTAGAACTGACGTTTTCGCCTCGCTGGTATGCCAAACTGCAGATAACTGCGGTACTTTCGATAGAAATCACTCCACTATGGTACTGAATTTTCGTTCTTTGTGTTTATTATTTTAGACATTCTATTATTTCCTGTGTGCGGATGAATTTCAAGAGACATGTTCTTCGGAAGGAGATCAAGTTTCCAGTGTACAGATATCAAAAGGTATTACCACGCTTAGCCTCGTTCTGAAAAATAACTGCAATATTAACCCGCAGCCAGTCTCAGTGTGTTTTATGGTTTAAAAGCACTTTCTAGAACGTACAGAAACGCTCGGCTGCGCCTCATCCATCTCTGTCCTTCTCTCAAGTCTTTTAAAAAATTTCCGCGTGCACATAACAAAAAAAAAATGCGCACGGCCGCTTTTACTATTCCATTTTAGACCTTATTATATCTCTCAGTTACTACGAGCGCTTTGATTGGTCAATTTAACGGGCCGTATTCTACTATGCGGCCCGCTAAAACTTCAAGTTGTTTTTGTTGCCAAAATGTTTCTTGATTAATCAAGTAAAAGATTAAAACTTTCTTTTACTTTAAATTGTGTATTAAAACGTGCTAATGACTTAACAACGATTTCAAATTAACTCGTTTTGCTTTCGACTTGCTTCAGAAATTTGAAGCCGTTGCGCGTGAATAGAAATCGTTCCCGAATCCGTAGGGAAAAAACTTGGTCCGTAACTCACAGTACGGACCTCCAACTCGGTTAGTAAGAGGTATTTATAGACAGTGTTCCTGATAGAGAGTATTNTTTATTCTTTTTTCTTATTGCGTGTCTAGCAATAACCTCAAAACATTGAGATCTTGTCGTCAATAGGCCCTTTGCAGCTGGGGTCACGTGACCAATTTTTTTCGAGAAAATTTTCATATTATGGGCTATGACTTGAAGAATGCCAGAAATGGAAAGAGCGCATCGAAAATACCAACATAGCCAAGTTTGACGCCCCTGGCATTAAAGAGTAAGTTTATATGACAGCTTGAATTTTCGGAAAATTTAAAGGATTTGTAAGGAAAATGTTGCAGGAGAGCAAGACCTTGCTCTCCAACAACTTTTTCCATACAAATCTTCTTATTCTTTTAAATATTCAGACCGTCATAAAATCTCATTCCTTAATGATGGGGGCCTCAAACTTGACCATATTGATATTTTCGACATGCTTTTTCCATTACTGGCATTTCTTAAGTTATAACCCATAATTTTATGAAAAGTAGGTCACGTGATGGCTTAGCTGCAAAGGACCTATAGGTACTTGTTTCCTGAGCTTCGGTTTAAATGTTGCATTAACGGACCCTTGATATGTTAAGGTAAAGTCTGCGCCGAAACAAGTCCATACCCCCACCCCCCTGCTGGATGGGATGCTAGTCCATCGCAGGGTAACCCTCCCTGGCCAAAAATGTATTTTCTCGTCTGAATTTACACACCTGGGTGAAGAAAGACGGATACAATGAGCCCGGTTTGGTTTCCAACACAGTCCGGACGGAGTCTCTTGCTAACCAAGAGACAACCTACCTAATGGTATGGTTGAACCGAAAAACACTGAGAACTAATGGGCAAGAAGTGCATAGTGAGACAATCTACCATAATACTGGAGGTCAAAACTGAAAGGGCGTAACTGGAGACCTTTGTGGAGTTTAAATTTGAAACCAAAAATGAAGTGTTGTCATTTTACTCTTGTGAAACTGTGTTCCATTGGGGAGGCATTTATGAATGTCGAATACTCCATGTCACAACTAGTCGCCTCAACATAAAAAAACGCTAATAGACCGTTTTCGACATATTAAAATTCAGCTTGGCAGTGAGGCTTAGGGGACACAAACAAAGGCAATTGAATGACAGCTTTATTCTTTCTTTTGTTTGTGTCCTCTAGAACTCACTGTCAAGCTGAATTCTAATGTATCTACACCATCTAAAATACAGCTACTATTTAAGGACTACGATCTTCCCCCAAATACAAGTCCAAACCTAACCCGGAAGTTTGGAATTTCAGTTGTGCAAACTCAAAAATATTCTTCTTCTTGCAAAATGTTGGAAAAAACTTTCAATTTTCTTGAATTGTAGTCAGCGCTATCTTTGCAATGGAAAGCTGAAAAATCCGAAAGTTAAATTAATTTAATTCAATTACAATAGATAATCAGTCTCAGTGGCAAAATTAGTTATTAGAGTTTTGCTACTTTTGTTACAATATGAATGTAAGAAGCATCAGTAATGGTATTATATTGTAAGTAGTGTAAGTATTAGTATCGTAACTTAAAAAGGGTAAATGTGTTGTTTTGTTGAGTAAGTTCTGTAATTGCATCGTATTGTTAAGTAGTGTAAGTAGTGTTAGTAGTTGTATTACTGTGGTAAACAGTTGTCACTTCTGTAATTAGTAGTTGTGCCAGTGTTGTAAGTAGTGTGAATTGCAAGTAAACTATAAAAAAAACAATAAAGGGAAAAAAATATATCGATACTGGCCTATTGCAATAAGATCACGACGCTTACAATGTCGAGATGCTGATGAAAAGGAAGAGTAAGAGGTGAGACAACATGGAAAGGAGGAGCAGTAGGTTGCTGAAGCTGGTAAGGAGGGCGAGGGCAGGGAGAGGACGAAAAGCAGCAGCTGGCGTGACTGAAGAAGGCGGAAGAGTAGTAACAGGAAGAAGACAGGAAGGGAAGGGCGTAAGGGAGTGGCAGTAGCAGTGCTAAGAGAGATGGGATTGGAGGAGTAGCATAGGTGTATGTGGGGAGACACAGCGAAGAAATACAGCAGCATACTAGAATAAGAGGGGAGGCCCCAACACGGAGAAGCCTACACAACGAGAGAAAGAATAGGAACACTGATAAGATGTGGAGAAAAGCCTAATAACAACCTACAAAATCGTATAGCTCAAGAACTGAGAAACATTCATTAACCCGTCACTGTAATTGCATTTTATTCCGTTCAATTCTCGGTTCTCTATTTCTTGCACAATGCCAGAATGTCGTATTTATTATTCCGTTTTGACATTTGATTAAATACAAAGGAAACTAAGTACCTCTAGAGTGGTTTTCAAAAAGGAGTCTTAAAACTACAACCAAAGGAATCACAATGGCCAATCATAGCACTCGTAGACAACACAATGAGCCAATCAGAAACCATAACCGTCGCCACGCGCAGGAGAACACGCACGAGCAACCTTTGGGTTTGGTTTAATATCTGATTGGTTGAATAGGTGGCGCGAATTTTTAAACCAATCAGAGAGCGTGCGTACGATTGTTCTCGACGCTCAATTGAAAACTACTCTAACATGGTTCAGACTTGCACTACACTGATGAAATTAAATACGAGTTTCTTTACTTTTGCCTACTACCTTGTGAAAATTACTTCGGCAATCCAGTAACCTTTCTCATGCATTCCAATACTAGACGGCTTTCAAGAGACAATTACTCAGTTTCCAGCCAAATACAAAACTATTCAGTACACGTAACAAACGTAACAAACCTTGTGTAACCGGCAATTCTATACATAATATCACGGGCGACAAATTACTCCTAAAATTTGGCGCATAATTTCAAGGCTATTTTGTAATTTCACATGCGAAATTACAAAATTGCCATGCGAACGTTTGGCGCGAAACTTCTCGATACAACAAACAAGTCAAAAACCTAAGACTGTAGGTGTAATTTGTCACCCATGATATTAAAAGGCAATTAAATAATATACTCGTGAAATTAAGAAATAATTTCACTTACGTTTTGTAAAAATCCTAATTTTTAGAATTTTGGCAAAACGCGCGTGAAATTATTTCCTAATTTCACTCCTCATCATTTGATTACCTATACTAGTTTTTAAAATACGGATAACACGAACCAAATTTGCGTGCATATCCCAAACAAATATATCTTACACCTAAAGTGAAAATTGCGATTAGTACGCTACTTAACATAAATCAGTAAAATTAAAATCGTGCTATCTTAATAATGACTGAAGTAATTTAAAAATAATATAAACCAGATCCATAATTTTCACACCTGATATATACCACCGCTGACCTCTTAAGCCTGGTTTTCACTAGCGACGTTAGCACAAACGAAAGTACAAGCCCAAACACAATAATTCTTATTTCACCGTGAAAACGGCCTTGACGCAGGCATAAACACAAGCGCAAGCACAAGAATAAGGATCAAAATTTGCGTTTGCGCTGCAAAACAAGTGAAAACGAAATACCGCTCGGGCATAACGCCAGCACAAGGATATTTACCACACGTGGTTATGTTTGGCCAATGAACACATTGGATCCAGATTACCTCGCGCCTGAACAGTTTTCCAAAATGGCGGAAGGTTCGGATGATTTTGCTTGTGCTTGTGTTTGCGTCGAATTTCGTGTCACTGGGGTTATCGCTATTGCTTTCGTTTGCGCTCGCGTCGCTAGTGAAAGCCGGGCTTTACACACAATTCATCGTATATCATAAAAGCGCTGGTGAGTGTGGATTAAACGCGTTAAATATATAACTAAAATATCGAAGGATTTCCTCGTCCAATGGGAAGAATCATTTGAAAACAAAGAAGAAAAACGTGGTTTGCTTTAACTCCAAGAACCGGGGGACTTTTTCTACAATTAAAGATCGACTCTGTGTCACACTATCGCCACAACGATAGCGTGACATACGTTTCACGATCTACGGTTTGGGAAGCAAGCCGCGTGTTCAACGTAGCTAATAATTGCCTCGATACTACAATTCACACTAGATTTTTCCCAGTGCAGCCCCAGATGGCCAAGGAAATTTACATTATCTAAACCCCTCAGATTCCATTAGCCTGTAAGCTCTGTGGGGCATCTTACTCGCAGGCTACTGTACGTAAGAATCGAAGGAAGACTTGCCTATTTTAATTTAACGTATGAGATATAAGACTTCAATTGGTGAAAAGTCGATGTTTCGTATCTTCTTCGTCTTCGTCTTCGTTGGAATCAGAACCACACTCAGACGGAGCTGGAGATGGCGGAGCAGAGCCTGGGCGCGGATAGTTAAAATTCATTTGCTGAAAAACAAGGAACAGGTCGCAAGTGAAAACAGGTTTATGATCACGTGATTGAACTACAACTCAACGAGGTGCAATGTGTCAGTGCAGACAGACAACCTTTATTTAAGCACGATTAACAATAAAGCTCAGTAGCTTAGGGGTCGTGCAAGTACGAAGAAAAAGATCATGAAGAAGAAACAATCGACAAGAAGTTTTAACCGGTACCCCATTTAGGTTGGAGATTTTCCTTCAGGCAAGTCAAAATGGTCTTACAATTTATATTTCGACTGAAATGTCCTCATTTTTGGAGGTAAATGGTAAACAACCTTTCCTGAATATCTCCGAGGGATACCACACTAATTAGCAGGCCGTACACTGGGCCGTTAACTAATTCAAACAATTTGCTTGCAGTTTTTCGGACACCCTTAAAGATCAACCAATGGAGTTCCTATTGTTTACGATAAATTGTCCAACCTCTCGAAGATCCCCCGATTAATAAGCCCGAGGATCTTAAAACGTTTTCGACCATGTCTAAAATATAAAGTTTAAACAAAAACCTGTGACGTTTCCCTCTAGCCTGCGAAAAGGCTAACGTTTGGGGAGCACTGGTGCGAGCAGCAAAGTCGCGAGGAGACTAGTTTGACGTCCTTCACCAGACTCTTCCTACCGGATCGTTTCGCACGCGGACCATCTCGCGGACTCGCTCTTCGCCGCGCGCGCGTGACCTCAAGGTGAGTCTGCTTACAGGCTAGTTTGCCACAGTCTACTTGCACTCGAAAGTGCACAGTGCACCTAGCAGTGCAACTAGTGCAATTATTAGTGCGGTGGTATGAAAGATGTATGGATTACCCATTAACCAAGAACCGAGCTCACCACTTCATCAATCAGGCGGGGCTTCTCGTACTTGTCCGGATGAAGGTAATGCAAAGCAAGCAGTCGAGCCCGCGAGTAGTACTGAAATAAAAAGAAGCGGCTGTTATCATGTAATATATACAAAAGTAAACAATAACACCAAACAAACAATGTTCAAAGATTACTAAGCGGTAAAACGACCAAAATATATCCTACGTTTTGTTGAAACCGCCTTGAATTTTACAAGAGTGTTTGGAATGTAATGAGTTCCAGGTTTGTATGAAAACGTTACAAAAACGAAAGACACAAACCGAAATACCGGGCAACAAAATTGATGGATGACAATTATGGATTTCTTTGGCATTTTTGACTTAATTTATGGCTTAAAAGTTGAAAATGTCACAACTTTAAATTATAACAGGCATTCGCTAGTAACAGCAGTCATAAAAACTGCAGATACGCAGTACCTTTAACCGCTGTACAGTAGTTTTGGTGGCAACTTGAGACGCGCTCTACTTTGCCCTGACTCGTCCTCACTTCTCCATGATGATAATTCAAAAGGACTGGAGACGAATCTACATTGCCTAGTTCCTAGGCCTCGATATTTCGCCTCGGTCAATCGTTTTCAGGTCACGTAGTTCGAGGCGAAAACTTCGTCTCGGACACAACACCGAAATCAATTGCCCGTGAAGGCCTGGGAGAAAGCCGTACAGGAACTAGACAAGAATCTGCCAATCTCTAATAGCTTCTAATAATATTACCTGGAGTGTTGGTGTTAGGGCCTGTTCACATTATCGTTTGGAAATTGTCTCAAAAGACTGCTTCGTAAGCAACTAATTAACAAACTTACCCTATGAAGACTCTTCCAATCCAAGAGTTCACTGAGTCGTTCAGTTCTATTCCTCTGAATAATTCGCTGTCTTCTTGTCAGTTTACAAAAGCTCATCATGTACTGTGACAAAAAAAGTACACTGTTTCATTATGTACTCAGCAACAGATATTAAGGGCAGTTGAATTGGGTTTAATATCAACGAAATATCTCAAGTGAAGAAGATTGTCCCTTTCCTGAACTCCATACAGAAAAAAACAACACGTTCGGTTCACGGGCCGTGGGAGCAGTCGTGGCTCTATGCCGAACAGTGTGTTGGATCTCTAACTGAGCAGTCCTGGTTCGAGCACTGGCCAGTCCAGTGCAGTTCACGACATAAGAGGGAAGATTCAAAGTAACTGGCTCTACCCAGAAGTCTAGGGAAATCTTTGTCTATACTATTTCCCTCATTAGCGTAAGCGAATCAGTTTCTGATGGAGCTACAGAAATATCAGTGCTGAATATTGAAATGACGCAGCACGATTAACCGTCCCCAGGAAGTTGAGCAGGATGTATTACATGTTGTTTTGTGTGCAACCCGAGTTTAAAGGCCTACCATCGCATTACGGGGAAGCAGCAGTACGCTGAGTTTTGGAAACAAGAAGGTAAGCGCTGGTCTTACGAGCACCTAAGCTCGAGGAAGAAATTTTGTGCAGAAAATTTAACAGTTCTCTAAAGAGGACGCGCTACGTAAATTCCTGTCTAAGGCAACTTGTAAGAACGGGTTCTGAACGAGTCTGGTCACTACAGTTGGTAAAATACCCAGTAAGGACAAAAGAGCTCACAACGTGATCAGCTCCCATTTGGTAGAGCACTGCACCGTTATCGCTGAGGTCATGGGTTCAAATCCCGTTCAGGCCTGAATTTTTTTCAGGCTTTAATTTCACAACTGCCTACTGAGACTGCTAAGACTGTGATGATCTCTAGTGTCTTAAATCTTTCTCCCGCCGTTCAAATATGTTCCTATATTCTCTGTGATAGAAAACATGTCAGACGCCATGAATTTTTTACCTGTGTGAGTTCTTGAATGGATTCCTCCGCTGATTTGAATCGTCTGTCCACAAGATAAATGCCATAAGATGTAGGATCGGTCACGTGTTCTGCCATGAACCGACCAAACCCTGACAAGTTGGTGGATACGGAGGGGATTCCCATCACGGTGCATTCCGCTGTACAAAAATAACAAGGTTAGAGGTTAGAGGTTCAGAGTTTTGTACAATGTTCAAGATTACTTTCCGTCTTTTGACAAAACCATTTTTTTTGACTCCATCCTCCTGCGAATACAGTAACTTATTATCGTTCCTGACTAGATTTGTGGTTCGCACCAAAGCGACTGGAAGCGAAGAGAGGTGACTGGATTCTAGACTGCCAGAAGTCTCTCTTTTGCTCGAAATTCCGTAGATAAAAACTTAAAAACACAGCACAAGTGAGCGGTCGTGAGCGTGCGAGCGTAACATGCGAAGCCGCGAGCAGCAAGTACTGCGGACGTCGGAAGACGAGCGAAAAGTGAGCGCTCGTCTTTCGACGCCCGCGAGGCTCACGGCTTCGCCGCTCACCGCTCGCATGTCAAGCTTGGAGTCACGCTTGCAAGCTCACTTGTTTTGCGTTTTTCCCCACGGATTTCCGAGCAAAAGAGAGATTGCTCGCAGACTAACTGGATTCAAATGCTGAGTACCTACTTCCAAAGACCTTGACTAGCAGTATCCATAAAGCGCTTTTTCATGACATAACTTACATACAATACTTGTGACTTAGCGACGTCCTCTACCTAATAACAGCGACGGAATTATTTCTCGACTAGTCAGATGTAGAAACAATTAAGCTTCCTTTTGCATTTTGCTTCGAGTTCTAATAAGTCTGTTAGCGCGGTTTTCAATTGAGTGTCTTGAAAACAAAACCAAAGCTAATCACTCTAGCCAATCACAAACTACACAGACAATACAGTGAATCAATCAAAACTCAAAGTAATTACATCTAGCGGACAAGAAGCGCGGGGAAACATGTCCGAATGAGTCACGATTGGTTTTGGTTTTACTTCTGATTGGACGAAAAAGTGGCGCGAGATTTTTTAAGCCAATCGAGTAGCGTAGTTGATGCAAAACCAATATTAGTTTTCAACAGTCAAATGAAAACCGCTCTAATGCACCATGTACGTGCGATCAAAACAGTGGTGTACCATTTGACATTGATAATCAAGGCGTCTGTCACACAAGTACACTAATGTTTTACCTGGAGTGTATCCCCAAGGCTCGTAATATGAAGGAAACACTCCTAAATGACAGCCACGAACGAACTCACTGTAGTCCATTGGAAGAAGCGGGCTGATGGTCGACAGAAATTCAGGATGGAAAATAACCTAATGATGAGAACAAACAACAGCAATGTAGTGACTGACAAGTGAGAAATAACGCCAATCGCGGGCGTTATTTGGGTGGTTACGCGTCACGCAACGCTTCTTTGCAGGAAGTGTTGTGTGACGACCTAAATAACGTTGAAGTACCTTGACCCTGTCATCCGGATTGTTGAAAAGATGTGTTCGTCGAAGGTGACAGAGAATAGGATCCACACTGTCCTCTAACATATTATGAGTTACAATGGCGGGAAGGTTAGGACGCTGCAAAACAACGACAACAGAAATATCACAATTACAAATGTAGAGGGCACTTTGCGATCCCTCAAGGCTGGCTTTCACTAGCGACGGAGTCGTACTTGAAGACGGAGTCGTAAGCGCGCTTACAACCTTGTGAAGTCTGACCAAATCGAAGTCGGAAGAATCAGAACGTTTCCATTTTCTTCCGATTCCACTTACGGTTCAATGAAACTATACTGTCGCAGTCGGAAGCAGAAGCGGAAGAACAAACCGATTGCAAGGCCTGAAATCGACCACTGTTATTGGTTTTCGACTCCAACAATGCAGTTTTCACTAGATCGTATTGCTCTGTGTTTCTGATTTCGACTCCGACTCCGTCGCTAGAGAAAACCAACTTCTAGAAAGACACATGTCGTTATACGTTTTCAGATAGAGTCTTTTTAAAAAGTGACTTGATTCATCAGACGGATTATGAAGATGAAATTTCAATTTATAGCTTCTTTATTCATTTAACTTGTGTCCTTGCAAATGTACTGATATCGTAAGAAAACAAATTCGGGATGGTCTCAGTTGGAAATTAAAGCAAGAAAGTGTCAACGCACTTTTTTACCTCTTAAAACATCGTTTCATGCTCGTTGTGTTTTAAGATGTCTTCCAGGTACATTTGTCCGTAATCGAAACTGATCAGAGAGTTACCGCGGTTGAATTATTCTAAGAGTATTTATTACCTTGGCACCAAGAATACATCTTTTTAGCTTGATTATCTCGTCAGCGTCTAAAAGTTTCGTACCATCTGGAAGCTTTCCCCTATATTAAGACGTCAAATAGTTGCCAGTCTGTTAATGTGATCTATCTCTGACTGAAACTTATTTTCCCTCAGGAAGTGACCCGAATATTGAGTTTAAAACGATATACGATTCGCAAGTCAAGTTGAACATAATTGGCACATGTGAAGAAGGCATCTCTTTGACATACATGAGTGATTATTAGCGGAAAACGTAATAAAAAAAGTTGTCATGGCCTCGCTCCTTTGTATTTTGTCTCAATTTCTTTTCTCGAGTTTGTTTATCTCAGTCTCTCTGTTGTCTTTATGAAAAAAATTTATCCTCTTGCGCACGCATTTTAAAATCACAGGTCCCATACCTCGCGCGTCCTCCCCCTCACGCGTGCGCTCCCTCGCCCGTGTGCCTCTCCTAATTCACTCCCTACAATATCTGCCTCTATCAGGCCAGTTATTCAGCTCCTTTTAATGGCTGAGATAACCCACGCCTATAGCTAAGACTTCTTTCGGAAGTAAAGAAGAATTGTGTTGTAATTTTCATTAATCAAAGTATAAAGACAAAGAAACAAGGGAAGCCTTTAATCTTATTTTCCCTTGGAATCTCACAATGTGACTCAATATTGAAAGTGAAGAATGATCATCGCAGTTAATTTTCCAATTTAAGCAATTGGAAAGAAGAAACCTGAAAAAANATGAAGCCACACATTGGGAGCGAAGTCAGTTAATTGAGTTCATATCTTCTGCGATGATCATTCTTCACTTTCATCTACAACCGCAGTTCTTATATGAATTATTTCATATAAACTTCACATGGTGACTCAATATTGTTAAGAAATTATCTTGGTCTTGAGTCGTACAGACATTACCATGATAACATACGATATGTTGATGTTCACGGTCAATGTAACAAAACAGTTTTTCACAAGTGTGACCTTACTATCAACAAGCGATTAAAAACAGAACTTACCCGAGACAAGAATCGTATATTCGCTTGCCTATTTTGTCTTGGATTTCAGTCACCGTGTCTCTAGAAATGCGAAAACCGTAATTAATGAAAACATTGGCCACTTTAGAGACGAGAGGAAACCTGGGGCGAGTCCCATCTCGCAGTCGCTTGCGAGATTGTCCCTAATAACGGTCCCACAAGCCAGTGCGTGATGCGACCTGCCCCAGGCTTCTTCTCGTTTCTTAAGTGGCGAATGGCATTTTCAATTATGCTGAATACGAAACCAGCAAGCTGGAGAAACTGAGATGCTACAAAGTTAAATCATAGAATACAATACGCTGAACATGAAATTATAGCAGTTGAAGTTCTTACCGGAGCTGTTTTGTAACAGCTTGTCCTTTCAGTGAGTCTACGTTAAAGTTGCTAGTCCGCGCGGGAAAAATTAGAAATGCCACTACAGTCATATCACTGCCACTGACCTGGAGAAAATTAACAAGGCATATTACATACAGCCTCTGGACAAAACAGCTTTCAGCTAAACTGACCGTGAAAAAGACAAGACCATTTCAGGCATTTCATTATTTGAAAATAAGTTTGATTTGGACGAAAACAAACACGTATTACTAAGCCTATTTAAGACGAAAGGTTCTACGTCAGTCTTAACATGAAATTTACCAATGAACTAACGTACTCTTCAAAGACCTTCAACTTGGCCTGTATGGTCATGCTTAAATTACCAGAAGCGTTACATTTCTGGCCCCGTTAAGAGCTTCCTATTAAACTGAACAGGATCTACACACTGCCAATTATGTTGGCCGTCAATGTATTTTACAACTTGCAGGTGCTACTGACAATAAAAGACAAAAATCACCTTTAGAAGATGGTTAAGCCTTGCTAGAGATTCTACAAAAAGATCAGCGCCCTTGTTGAAGTATTCATACCTGGAAAGATAGAGGTTTAAAGACTGCGAACGTTTTTCAGTGCAGTGAGGGTAACCTAACACAAGCAATTCTCCAACAAACCAAGGATTGAGATTTTCGTCTCCAGGAAAACTTATGGTTTTTTCTTTACTACAGACTTGCAAAACTTTCACTTTAGCAATAGCCTGTGAATAGGCTCCTGGCAAGCGCGCACAAAAAATTACGCGAGTGAACAAGCCACCAGCGTGCATTTCTTCCTCCCCAGACCGCCCTCAGCTACCTCTGCCCGCCTGCAGAGGAGAAGTCTGTTCACAAGTTACTTAAGCAATGACACACGTACATACAGACTCCACAAGGTGTACTGCAGCGTGTATCAAAGAAAACATCATATTTAAATACAAAGATTGCTTCGCAAAATCGTATTTGCAGTCAAATTTAACATCCATAGTCCAGAAATGTCCTTTGGCTGTTTCAAAAGGTTCTGTTGTTTGAGGTTCAGATAAGCTATGCTAAAGCTAAGCTGAGCCAGTCTCCTGAGTGAAGGGTTCATGTCAAGCACTTCAAAATCATACTGATGAAAAAGATGTTACTTTAATTAGTGAATAGCAGCTGTGAGTGAGATGCATTGCTTGTAGTCAGCATACATGTATTTAAAAGTATTCTTAACTCACCTTCCAGCACTAAAGAAGAAGAGTGTCTTGTCCAAATCAAAGTTTAAATGTCTGTGAACAAACGGGATGCATTCATTTGACACATTCTAGCTTTCAATTCACAAGGCATACAAACTATGGCAAAATGGAAGAGGTTAAAAAATCATAAATAAACATATAACATATAACGTTCAACATATAACATATAACGTTCAACAGAATTATATGCATGTCAAATCCATACTCAAGTAAGCAAAAATTTACATTGTGATCTATACATACCCATGAAAATGACCTCGCACAAAATTACAGATCTTCTCCTTTGAAATGGCATGCAGATTCTGGAACTCATGCAGAGCTCTAAACAAACAAACCATTTTAATGTTATTTTACTAGAAGTTGCCATGACATAGATAAGTTTTCAAGTAACTCCTTCCTCGTGCCTAGTCACAGGAGCATGACTACAAACACAAGTTGAACATTTTTGTTTCAAGGACAAATAAACTTTCGTAGGTCTTACAACTTAGATTGAACAAACATTTGTCTTCTGCCAGAAAATTAGAAATTCATCACTGTTCAACAATGTAAATCATGTTCTGTAATAATCAAAATTAGCTCTACATATTAAAGAACTTCAATCAAAGGTGAAGACCATGTAGAATAAATTCTTTTTCCTTTAGTTAGGCTAAATAATCCCTGCCTTGTAAGACTTTTTTTTTTTTAAATATTCCTCTCAATGTCAAATTCTGGCATATTCTTTTATATTCAAGGAACATTACTTAACTAATACTTAACTTCACTTTTAAAAATCTAGATATTATTTATTTGTAATAATTGAACTCTGTATCACACCCATTACCTCTAAATTTCTGCAACAATTTTCTGCACAAGCACAGATTATAGAACCTCACAGAATATTATTACAATATTGACAGAATGGACTAGTTAAAATACCACTTACGTATACTTAATAACATTCAGGCCATTGGGCAGAACAATTTCTGTTAAAAAAAACACACACAGTCACACACGAAACCAAAGTACATGTACCAGACAAGTGTAATTAAGACAAAATAGAAGGCAATGTTGGTGGAATGAAATAAGGGCCGCCCGCAAAAGGCAACAACAGATTCTTACAAAAAAGAATGAAACATTACTTGGTATAGAGAAGACATTTTTTAAAACCCATGATGCAAGTGTGTCTTATGCATAATCTGACAATAGTGTCTGCTCAAGACATTCCTAGGTGAAGAAGTTATTGTACCACTTTTTATTTCACACGGAATTATCACTGTACATGTAGGTAGGTAGGTAATGTCCTCATCCAAGCCCAATGGACTATCAGGCCAGTGCCTATTTCGTGTCTTCGTAACACAAAGCGAGTAGGAGTATTTCTGGATGGGATTATAGTCCATTGCAGGCTTACCCCCAGCATTAAATTTGCCAGTACACATTTATACTAAGGATGTACATGTATTACATATTTTATTGTCTGTATAGTAGTTACTGTTTTCCACACAGGCTGCAGAAGTTAAATTTAAACTACACTGATGGAGCATCCTACCAGGTCTCCTTTTGAGCAAATGTTCAGCTTCATCTGCCGTGATGTGAGAAACTGTGGTGAACACATGAGCATTAGCAGCAGCAGCACGCTCTAGACAGTAACGATGATAAATCTTGCGATCTCCAGCTTCCTGCAATCAAAGGGACATAATTANCCACCCCCCGCACGGTTGCTACTTTAGTCACAGGTGCACAGGCCTGTTTCGTTATTACAGCTACCCACAGCTATCTTGAATGACTCAAATGAGATATGGAACAAATAAAGTAGAGCAGAATACATGTTGTTTTTAATTAATTTGCAATAAATCATAATAAAATGGATCATATTCTGGACTTTACAAAGACTTGGTCTTGATGTAGAATCTGATGTAGATATACTGTATGTAGCAGTGAATACAAGCTGAAATATCTCACTCACCTTGTCAACATCAAACTGTTCAAAGAGAAAAAAAAGTTTAGATCAGAAGATATTTCTGGACAGTTACATAAATCTGAGAGGGTGGGGGTAGAATGGGTGGGGATAGGGAGGGAGGGAAGGAGGGGAGTGTAACCTGCAATTAACCAGCACCTCATCCAGTGGTATGTTCACCTGGTTGCATCATGCTATGAATACAAGCACAAGTTCTGGTCCTGACTGCAGATGGATATCCTTATTTACCATCAGGTTAAAGCATGCGGGCATGCCATGGCTAATGGTTCAAGCATGACCTGTCTTTGTGTTCTGCTATCAGAAAAACCTGACACTACACCTCAGTCCACAAGACAACAGGGTACCAATAATATGTACTATTGGCTCACATCATGGGCCCACAATGAATACCGTAAATAGGTATTCAGCTACATAGCACTCTGCACGCGTGCACACATTGTTCACCTATGATGCAAACCAATATTGTTGATTAGAAGTAACCACAGCAGAGACTGTAAGCCACAGTTGGACTAGCATAGTTTGCATGGGGAGTACTAGAAATATTCCTTAGTCACTTGACTTCATGCTACAAACAGTATCAGCTGTTACAGCTGAGTTAGTAAAATTTCTGCCATCTTTTATAACTTACCCTGTCCAAATTGTTGTAGAAGTCCACATTAGCCGCACATAGGTATCGTCCCAGAAGTGTTGCATGGGTGGTGAAAACTGTCCCTACAGCCACGTTTGTTGTGCGCAATAAAACCAGCCCCACACCGGCCTGCCACTCATGAAAATGTGCAACTATAGGTGTGTTAGGATCATATCTGGCTCGAAACTGTACAAAGAGAGATATTTACATCTCAATTGGTCAATAAGCAAGATAAAAATAAAATGTACAGTTGAAGCTCTTGCAAGTGACCACCTTGTGAATACAAAAGGTGATTGCAAGAGCTGGTCATTTACGAAAATGTGTACTCATATGCAACCACCTGCTGAAAAAATAAAGGAGCTTTTGGCATTAAGCTTTCTACCTCAATCTCAAGGACACAGTCTTTCACTAGCCATTATAAATCTTCCTGAACTTTTCATTTGAAATCTTTTGTCAGTAAACATTATTATAGTAAATGTGATTATGTACTGTATACTTTTAACAGTAAGAGTACTGACTAAGAATCCGAAGAGCTTCAAAACAAAGAAGAAGAGCAGCTCATTTCAATCAATTTGGTAATTCTCAAAAGTGAAACTTCTAAACTCAGTTGTTTGACATTAATCAAGACACCAGGTTTGTAGTGGCCATCTTACGGCTCATCACACATGGGGTTCAGATCCACCTTAAATTTTCAAAACCTTAAGGAGGCTCTGAACCCTATGTACAGACTTTTTAAAACTTTGCCAAAAGTTGTGTCTTATCATGCTTATCAAAATTTGAAAATATAAAAAAATTTCACTGTGCCGTTTTTGAATTATAAGCCCCTAAAGCTGTAATTNTACATGTAGAAACACTCTACAAGGTTTGGGAGAATTTGTAAATTTTTTAAAACTGACAGCTTTAGAGAGACCATGGTGCTACATGTACACAATCAGTAGTAGAAGTGTATCTAGTACATAACTCAAGTCTAGCCATTAACAAAACATGAAAGAAATAGTCCTGCAAATTACCGGTACTCACTCAGATGAAATTTCACAACAATAATTATTTATAAATAAATTAATGACACAAAATGTACAATCAGGAGCCCATGTGTATTTCTAGATTCCAAAGAAAGATGATATGCTATGATATACTATACAGTATATAGAATAAAAATATGAAGGCAGCCTAATGACAGTGTTCAGTCTTTCTTTACCCTCTAAGATACCAATAAATAACTTTAAGAAACCAATAGATAATCTTTAGATAGTTTGCAGTAGTCCAGTAAATATTTATTTATAATCCCTCTTTCACTCTGAATCTGTGAAAACTTCAATCTAAAAAATGAGAAGTTTGTAAAAGAGTTGCAACATGAATAGGAATATGAATATCTGAAGAAAGCTGGGTACACTTGCTGGAACGAGACAATGACAGTATACAAAAGGAAATAAATTGAAGAGAATCGTTCAAAGTTATACCTCGACTCCACTGTCTCTCAAGGCTTGGACAGCTCCTTTCATGCTAGGATCTTCAGGTTCCATCATTTCCACCTCAGTCTTACACTGGAGATCATTGTACATTCCTATCAAACAATACTTGTTTCCAAGTACATCAACTGCAGCAGGTGCTTTAGATCTGATGACAGTGTAGATCCCACCAACTGCAAAAAAATGTTAAATACTAAATTAAACTTTCCTGGCTAGTTATGATGTCTTGATTGAGACACATATATTACTCCCAAACTGCTTGAGCATCTACTCAGGAAAAATGGGTACTGGTGATTGTTTGGACAATCTGACATTAAAAAAAGTGTGCAAGTGGGGTCACCTGTGATGGAGTAGCATCCCATCCTAAGGGAGTAACAATACCTGTTCCAGATGGTTGAATCGTGCCATTTGGAACAACAAAACAGACCCCTCTAATCTCTTTTAACAGAGCATATTCCCCCCCACCCCTCCCAAAATAACCAGGGACAAATTGCTGGAGGTTTAACCTGTGATGGACTAGCATCCCATCCTGGATATATTCTAACAGTATGGAATGGGCCAGTGGATTTTAGCCTTTCCAGTTTAATTAAATTGGTTTTGTAAGTATTAATCAGGTTTTAATAATTAGTTTTATGAGTACTTTTCTCTTCTCAGTGTGAGAATACTTTCTTTGGGTTAGTTATTCAAGTGACTTAATAATATGTTGAAAATTAAATACTTGCAAGGCAGCATCTGTTCAAGCATATAGAAGAAATGATACTTAGGAAATTTTGGT